AGAGCACAACGAGATGGGTGGAGTTTAGACAGTGAGAGGTCCCAGCGCACGCACGTCAATGGATCCCGACGCGTTGCTCTCATGCGTCCTCCACTAATGTCATCAGAACTCTTCTGTTCGAACAACCAGTATCAGGCAGGTCTCCTGCTCACTGCCCAGTTCACTTGACCGTTAAGCAAGGGCTCTAAATGCATCTACGGCGCGAATCGTGGCTCTGAACCCTAGCTCCGCTTAGCTGGAAGAGGCGGTATTCCGGCATTCCTTGGCACGATCTACTTGGTGTATTGTAGTATTGAATTTTACGGTCGGGTTGGACGGGCGTTGGGCGAGACACCGTTCGCCTCAAAGTTGCACCTAACGCCTAGCCATTGGCTTACCTCAACCTGGAGATGACCGTACTCCGGCAGTTCTTGGTACGATGTACCTGCATAATTCGTTTGATGTCTCGGGTACGCGGGTGTTCGGTTTGACCCGCCCCCTCCCCCTTGCCTCTGCTGGCCTCAACAGTGGCATTCACCTTGTAGACAAAGGAACACGGTCAATAGAGAGCACAGCGAGATGGGTGGAGTTTAGACAGTGAGAGGTCCCAGCGCACGCACGTCAATGGATCCCGACGCGTTGCTCTCATGCGTCCTCCACTAATGTCATCAGAACTCTTCTGTTCGAACAACCAGTATCAGGCAGGTCTCCTGCTCACTGCCCAGTTCACTTGACCGTTAAGCAAGGGCTCTAAATGCATCTACGGCGCGAATCGTGGCTCTGAACCCTAGCTCCGCTTAGCTGGAAGAGGCGGTATTCCGGCATTCCTTGGCACGATCTACTTGGTGTATTGTAGTATTGAATTTTACGGTCGGGTTGGACGGGCGTTGGGCGAGACACCGTTCGCCTCAAAGTTGCACCTAACGCCTAGCCATTGGCTTACCTCAACCTGGAGATGACCGTACTCCGGCAGTTCTTGGTACGATGTACCTGCATAATTCGTTTGATGTCTCGGGTACGCGGGTGTTCGGTTTGACCCGCCCCCTCCCCCTTGCCTCTGCTGGCCTCAACAGTGGCATTCACCTTGTAGACAAAGGAACACGGTCAATAGAGAGCACAACGAGATGGGTGGAGTTTAGACAGTGAGAGGTCCCAGCGCACGCACGTCAATGGATCCCGACGCGTTGCTCTCATGCGTCCTCCACTAATGTCATCAGAACTCTTCTGTTCGAACAACCAGTATCAGGCAGGTCTCCTGCTCACTGCCCAGTTCACTTGACCGTTAAGCAAGGGCTCTAAATGCATCTACGGCGCGAATCGTGGCTCTGAACCCTAGCTCCGCTTAGCTGGAAGAGGCGGTATTCCGGCATTCCTTGGCACGATCTACTTGGTGTATTGTAGTATTGAATTTTACGGTCGGGTTGGACGGGCGTTGGGCGAGACCCCGTTCGCCTCAAGGTTGCACCTAACGCCTAGCCATTGGCTTACCTCAACCTGGAGATGACCGTACTCCGGCAGTTCTTGGTACGATGTACCTGCATAATTTCGTTTGATGTCTCGGGTACGGCGGGTGTTCGGTTTGACCCCCCCCCTCCCCCTTGCCTCTGCTGGCCTCAACAGTGGCATTCACCTTGTAGACAAAGGAACACGGTCAATAGAGAGCACAACGAGATGGGTGGAGTTTAGACAGTGAGAGGTCCCAGCGCACGCACGTCAATGGATCCCGACGCGTTGCTCTCATGCGTCCTCCACTAATGTCATCAGAACTCTTCTGTTCGAACAACCAGTATCAGGCAGGTCTCCTGCCTACTGCCCAGTTCACTTGACCGTTAAGCAAGGGCTCTAAATGCATCTACGGCGCGAATCGTGACTCTGAACCCTAGCTCCGCTTAGCTGGAAGAGGCGGTATTCCGGCATTCCTTGGCACGATCTACTTGGTGTATTGTAGTATTGAATTTTACGGTCGGGTTGGACGGGCGTTGGGCGAGACACCGTTCGCCTCAAAGTTGCACCTAACGCCTAGCCATTGACTTACCTCAACCTGGAGATGACCGTACTCCGGCAGTTCTTGGTACGATGTACCTGCATAATTTCGTTTGATGTCTCGGGTACGCGGGTGTTCGGTTTGACCCGCCCCCTCCCCCTTTCCTCTGCTGGCCTCAACAGTGGCATTCACCTTGTAGACAAAGGAACACGGTCAATAGAGAGCACAACGAGATGGGTGGAGTTTAGACAGTGAGAGGTCCCAGCGCACGCACGTCAATGGATCCCGACGCGTTGCTCTCATGCGTCCTCCACTAATGTCATCAGAACTCTTCTGTTCGAACAACCAGTATCAGGCAGGTCTCCTGCCTACTGCCCAGTTCACTTGACCGTTAAGCAAGGGCTCTAAATGCATCTACGGCGCGAATCGTGGCTCTGAACCCTAGCTCCGCTTAGCTGGAAGAGGCGGTATTCCGGCATTCCTTGGCACGATCTACTTGGTGTATTGTAGTATTGAATTTTACGGTCGGGTTGGACGGGCGTTGGGCGAGACACCGTTCGCCTCAAGGTTGCACCTAACGCCTAGCCATTGGCTTACCTCAACCTGGAGATGACCGTACTCCGGCAGTTCTTGGTACGATGTACCTGCATAATTCGTTTGATGTCTCGGGTACGCGGGTGTTCGGTTTGACCCGCCCCCTCCCCCTTGCCTCTGCTGGCCTCAACAGTGGCATTCACCTTGTAGACAAAGGAACACGGTCAATAGAGAGCACAACGAGATGGGTGGAGTTTAGACAGTGAGAGGTCCCAGCGCACGCACGTCAATGGATCCCGACGCGTTGCTCTCATGCGTCCTCCACTAATGTCATCAGAACTCTTCTGTTCGAACAACCAGTATCAGGCAGGTCTCCTGCCTACTGCCCAGTTCACTTGACCGTTAAGCAAGGGCTCTAAATGCATCTACGGCGCGAATCGTGACTCTGAACCCTAGCTCCGCTTAGCTGGAAGAGGCGGTATTCCGGCATTCCTTGGCACGATCTACTTGGTGTATTGCAGTATTGAATTTTACGGTCGGGTTGGACGGGCGTTGGGCGAGACACCGTTCGCCTCAAGGTTGCACCTAACGCCTAGCCATTGACTTACCTCAACCTGGAGATGACCGTACTCCGGCAGTTCTTGGTACGATGTACCTGCATAATTCGTTTGATGTCTCGGGTACGGCGGGTGTTCGGTTTGACCCGCCCCCTCCCCCTTGCCTCTGTTGGCCTCAACAGTGGCATTCACCTTGTAGACAAAGGAACACGGTCAATAGAGAGCACAACGAGATGGGTGGAGTATAGACAGTGAGAGGTCCCAGCGCACGCACGTCAATGGATCCCGAAGCGTTGCTCTCATGCGTCCTCCACTAATGTCATCAGAACTCTTCTGTTCGAACAACCAGTATCAGGCAGGTCTCCTGCCTACTGCCCAGTTCACTTGACCGTTAAGCAAGGGCTCTAAATGCATCTACGGCGCGAATCGTGGCTCTGAACCCTAGCTCCGCTTAGCTGGAAGAGGCGGTATTCCGGCATTCCTTGGCACGATCTACTTGTTGTATTGTAGTATTGAATTTTACGGTCGGGTTGGACGGGCGTTGGGCGAGACACCGTTCGCCTCAAGGTTGCACCTAACGCCTAGCCATTGGCTTACCTCAACCTGGAGATGACCGTACTCCGGCAGTTCTTGGTACGATGTACCTGCATAATTTCGTTTGATGTCTCGGGCACGCGGGTGTTCGGTTGGACCCGCCCCCTCCCCCTTGCCTCTGCTGGCCTCAACAGTGGCATTCACCTTGTAGACAAAGGAACACGGTCAATAGAGAGCACAACGAGATGGGTGGAGTTTAGACAGTGAGAGGTCCCAGCGCACGCACGTCAATGGATCCCGACGCGTTGCTCTCATGCGTCCTCCACTAATGTCATCAGAACTCTTCTGTTCGAACAACCAGTATCAGGCAGGTCTCCTGCTCACTGCCCAGTTCACTTGACCGTTAAGCAAGGGCTCTAAATGCATCTACGGCGCGAATCGTGGCTCTGAACCCTAGCTCCGCTTAGCTGGAAGAGGCGGTATTCCGGCATTCCTTGGCACGATCTACTTGGTGTATTGTAGTATTGAATTTTACGGTCGGGTTGGACGGGCGTTGGGCGAGACCCCCTGCGTCCTCAATTGGATCCCAACCGCGGGTTCTTACGGGGTTGAAGCCAATCCTGAAGACGTTTCACCTATACTTACCTGAAAAATATTCTGAGAGGTCCTGTAATCCGTCAAATATCGCTGCACTCGTTGATACTTGTTTCCACGGTGGTTGTTTCCACGTGGGGAACAGCAGCAAATGATTCTGGCTACAACGACATTCATCGCGTATCAGCGCCACACAATATAGACCGCAAGATTTTGGGTATGACACTCAACGATGCACACTATATCACTTTTGGGGGGTCTTCCCGCGGGAGGTTTCGCGGATAATACCGAAGGTCCCGCGGAAAGACCCGCGGGATAGATGAAGTTTCGCGGAAGTGTCGCGGAAAATGTTTACTTTCAACGGAGCTTCCGACCCTCCGCCGGAACCTTTCGCGAGACTTTTCACTTCTCGAGGAAAGTCCGGAAGCTTCCGCGGAAAGCCCTTCGTTTTCGCGGGTGCTTCCGGATTTTCTGCGGAAAGTGGACATTGTTTTATTGGTTGTAGCATTGAGGGCAATATTGTCTATCTCTATGTATCACAGAGAGGATTTATTGCGGTTTGGGTACAGCTGAGGGCCAGTCCTGTTCTGGCCTGATTGCCTTCGCCGTTGTTGCCCGTCCTCGACCCGATCCCCGCCTCTCTCTGGCCACCCCCCCCCCGCCCGCGCCAAAATGGTTTTCATTGTTTGACATTACATGGACATGTCCATGTGCACTGGAAAGACGCCGGTGGCCGTCCTCCGAGGACGTCGTCCATGGACGGTGGTCCACGGACGCGTCCACCCACATTCGTGGACGGTCGACGAACACGTCCATGGATGACGTCAGTCCACGGATGAGATGGGGTATTGCAGTATTGCTGCGACAACTCCCAAAAATCCGTATCAATGTAAGTAGATGCTGTAGTTTTGCTAACGTAGGCGACAGAAGATGTCACATCCCCTGGAACAATTTTCACCGCTCGATTACATAGATCTAGTTCATCAGCAGAAAAGGTGCAACGGTGCCAATATGGTGGTAATTGTCGTATTTGACACAAGATACTCCCCCTGCCGGCCCAAGTAACAACGATAGATGACGACGTAGTCCACATAAGAGTGGGGTCGGAATCGTGTCGTGGGGCTTTCCCGAAAGGTGTCGCTTTGATTTATACGAGTACATAACTTCTACATATCATTTTCGTTCGTGGAATAATAAACAACTGCTTGTTCGATCCAGGGGGTGTAATATCTTCGGTCACCTCTGTTGTGTCTAAAGGCACAGCAGTCTATTGCAAAATAGGCGACCCGATATGCATAGTCCACCTTTTTTATGGTTCACATCCATGCATGGTGAATCGAGGAATAGATCGACGCCAATCCAACTCCAGAAGATCGGGAGACGCTCCCGGTACTCCACAGGAACTCAGTGGAGATTGGACGCTCTGCGTCATGGTGCCCCTGGCCCATAGCATCGGCGTGCACTCGCACATGTTGTGTCCTGTCCGAATACAACTATTAATCCGGTGGCTGTCGCGAGCCCTGATTTGCAGTGATGAATGAAGCGCTACTTCGAGTAGCCACCGTGGTCGAAGTAGACTCTTGCTCAGCGCTAGATGGTTCATATGACCATCAGCGCTGACCCTTGCACGTGTTCCGTTTGCTTGTCCCCTCCGCACTGTGGCCATGTTCGCCATCGTGCAGGGACGGAGTGGGCGGATGGGTGATGCCCGAGGCCGGTCCGGACGGGGAGGCCAAGTTCAAGATGACCGGCCCAACTGGGAACTGCTATGATTACTCTAAAGCCAGGTACGCACGCATGTGGTTACCGACCAACGATAGCATCCGTCGCTTCGTGGTCGATGTGACGAATACAGCATCGTCTCCTAGAACGAACTGTGTCCCGTAAAGAAATGTGTCAGAACCACAAAAACTCTCTGCTGTAGTCAACCAAGTGGTATATTCAGGAACGAGAAAGTAAAACTCTCTGCCGTTGTCCACCCAGTGGTATAGTCTATCCAGGAACGAGAGGAAATCCCGTTTATTGTTTTCTTTCGAATTGCATTTATGAATATTTTCTACAGCCCGAGGGAAGAGAGAGATACCAAACTGGCAGAGAGCACGTTTCCCGCAGACACGTTTCTATGGCCTTTCTATCGTGCCTCTGCCTCTCTCCCAATAAATACTGTCTCTCTTGCGCATCGTATGCAACCCGCTAGATCGGGTGCATACCGCTTCGGTTTACACCCTCGAAGCGAAGGCGGCGAGGCGTACAAGCGAGGACGGGACGCCGATGCCTCAGACGAAGCCCCAGCCGCCAAGAGGTGTCCGAAGTTGTCCGAGGAAGACATCATTGCCATATTTCCCCAGCGGCTGGCAGAGCTGGAAAAAGCCGAACACGAGGCAGCCCGCGCGAAGGAAGTGGCAGAGGCGGCGGCAGCAGCAGGTGCGGCGGCGGCAGCGAAAGCTGTGGCGGCGGCAGCGGCAGCTGTGGCGGCGGCAGCGGCAGATGCGGCAGCGGCAGCGGCAGCGGCAGATGCGGCGGCGGCAGCGGCAGATGCGGCGGCGGCAGCGGCAGCGGCAGATGCGGCGGCGACAGCAGTGGCCACAGCGAAGGTGGTGGCGGTGATAGCGGCAACATCGGCGGCAAAGACAGCAGCACTCCAGGCGGCGGAAGCTCTTGCGGGCAAGGAGGCTATAGGCTGACCGCTTCTCTGGTTGACGCGTTTCCATATGCTGAACACCCCGAGCGGAGCGTTCCCCTTCCTCCCACGATCCTGTTTCGGAGAGAGAGATGAAGGAACAAGCCACAAGTTCGTCTTCGGTGATCAGGGAGAAGGAAGGAGGGCGGGCTCGGGGCCGTTCCGCAGCGCGGGGGATCGTCGGTGGATGATCGTCGGCTCCCTAGTTTTCCAAGGCCCCACTTTACTCCGACCTTGGCAAGAGGCAGGCTAACGCTGCGAGGTGGTGGGCAACGATGGTAGAAGAAGAGGAGGAACGGGAACGGCAGGAACGCACGCCTCGGAACAAGACGCGACATGATGAGCGGCTCGCTTAGGTTGGGCCAAGAAATGCTTTTGAAGGAGGGCATGTGGCGTGCTCTCTCTTTTGCTCGTTGTGGAACTGTACAACAGTAGCGTAAAGTTGTTGTGTGCCGTTGCTGTTGAGTTCGCTCGATGCATGACCTGTAAAGCCTCTGCTTATGCTGTTGAAGCTGCGTTCGCTTGTTGTTACGGTCACGTGTGCATGTGAGAGGGTATGCGCTGGATTTGTGCCTTCGGAGTTTTTTTCTCGATCTCGTGGTCACAGCAGTCTCCGTGTAGAAGGACAAGGAAACGAGTCGACTGATTTCAGTCGAAAACCCCTTATCAACAGTCCCGGCGATGGAGTGGCGTCCTTGTATGCGGACGACAAAGGTGGGGATCGAAGAGACAGAAGCTGACAGTTTTTTTTGTAGACTGGTAAAGAGATACGCCGGAATGGGTCGTCAGCGGTCCCTCTCCCCAAGTACCATCGTATGTGTAAGCAATCTGAAATACGCTCAAGGCCGCTGAAAATTGAACTCTTCAACCAAGAATTCCCATGACTCACAACGTTGTTAACACCGAACTACTGTACCGGCGTGACCTCCGCATGGGGGGTGAATCTCGCCGCAGGGAAAATGTGTTTCCAATGCAGCCCGGCATCAATCAGGGCCAACGAAAATTGACGGGAGTTCGTGGTGTAAACTTGCATGCGGGGTTTGACGAACGCAGAAAACCGCTAAAAAGCGGTGATCGTTTGCCCGGCTGTGGCGGAAACACGTGATCAACGGGGGTTGGCCTACTTCGGTAGTAGGAACAACGAAAAAACGGTGGTGACGCAATGTAGTCTGTACGCCACGGCACAGAATGCTTCGAAACCACCTTCACTGTGTTTCGACCGCTCTCCGGTGTCGCACAAGCCCTCTTTCGGCCGAAAGTGATCGGTGGTTCCGCGGTATGCCCAACACGATGTCGTGGCACCACCTCCGCGGTGTCGCAAGCATTACTATCGACGACCCCGCGCGAACCTCTTCGACAACGCCTTCAATGGGCACGAAACCTGCTGACAGACCCCGTTGGCATTTGTGGCCGCTGTAGTGCTGCGGAGGAGGAGTGAACGTGCCTATCGCAAGGTGGACCCACAGGTTTCTGGTGCAAGGAAACGATCCCCGGTTTCCACCCACAGACGACTGGTCGAAGAGGCGCCCTCCGTGACACACCTTTCCTACGGTGAACAGATCGATTCCCGTCTTGAAAATCGAAGTTATAGGTTGCGCGACATCTCGTGTGCGTTCATCTGTGTTACCACACATTCGAAACCAAGGAGGAAGCCGGAACAGGAAATGTTGCGGAAGGCGCCCGCGCCTGCTGATGAGGCACGATCCAGAACCAAGAACATTGTCAAGGGTCTAGTGCTTGTGGTATTTTTTGGACAAGGATGTAGACTCATGCCCGGGCGCGAACGAAAAGTAGCAAGTATTTACTCAGAGTACCGCCGAAACCAGCTATGACTGTCATGTGCCAGGTCTGTTCCCGTTGAGCCCTCGTTTTGCACCGATCGGTACCATTTCGCACTGGATTGTCACGTTATTTCACAAAGAGCTCTTTCCTTCAACAGTGTCGTGTTTCCGAAAAAGCAGAGTACTCGAGTACTTGATTTCAGATTCCTTTCGGTTCCCTCGACGAGGAAGCCACCAACATGATCTTCTTCTCTTCGCGTGTCTTACCTGTCGTTCGTATTTTTGTGTTGTTCTCTTTATGAAGCCAACGCGCTCTTCCCGTTGCGTCTTACTCGACGATATGCTAAAGAGTCTGGAAATGCAGAAGGTGCTGCGGAGGCACAGCGAGAGAGTGACCGGCGTCGCATGGCCCCCGGAAGCCCATTTCTCGGACAAAACCTTGTTGGCAACCGGCGCGGCGGACAAAGTGAGTCAACCGTTTGTTGGGCATAGGGGTATTGCTGTTGTTCCGGTTTGTGGTTCGGTGGGGTTGTTAGCTGAAAATATCGGTGTGGGTTCTGCGGCCGCAAGTTGCTGCTTGCTCCTCTTGCGGTTGTTTAAATTATCGTGGAGAATGTGTTTACTTTGCTTGTTCTTTGGTGATGTGTTCCGGAGCCGTGTGCCGTGAAAATCATCACAGGCCCGAGTGTGAGATATTCGGAAGCAAAGCTTCTGCTACACCCTGCCGGCCCACAGCGCCCTGGTCGCGGGTGTACGGAAAGAGCGACAAGAAGCCTCATTGATTGGTGGTGGTGACTGCATATTTTTCGTTTGTGTCCATCAAATCCCGGATTTTCAACTTGCCAATATGTTGGTTTGAATTATCTAGCCGTTGGCAATAGAACCTTGATTTTCACCCGCATTCTCGTTTCGCTTGCGCCCACATTCTAAGGAGGGGTCGGGCGGCGCGTAGGCTAGCTAACAGAGCAGTGCGCGCCGCGCGAAAGAGACAGCAGGGTCAACTTCTTAGGGTAGCAACCTGGAATGTGCGGACTGTGGCTGTAAACGGGGCCAATGGATACGGGCGAGCCTACAGCATTCTACACGAGGCAGCGAGACAAGACGTATCGGTAGTAGGAATGCAGGGGACACAGAGGGCAGGTCGAACGGAATTTGCAGCAGCGGGTTTCCGGGTGTTCTGCTGTGGCACGGAGACCGGTGGAGTCCATGGTGTGGGGATAGCCGTCAAAGAGTCACTGTGCAAGACATCCACGTTCACTACGGAGTTTATCGACGAACGCCTTTTGGCCATGAGGTTTCTGCTGGCAGGCCACCGTGGAGCGGTCAACTTCGTAGCCGCGTATGCTCCAACCGAACCTTCAACCGCCGACAGCAAGCGCGTGTTCTGGGGAAAACTTGACAGTCTCGTGCGGAGGATCCCTTCCAAAGAATGTGTGTATGTCCTATTGGACGCCAACGCGCGGACGGGAGATAGGTTGGACGGAGGGGAAGGAAGGGAAATAGGACTGTACGGGCGTGATGAGCTCAACGACAATGGCATGCTACTGTTGAATTTCGCAGCGGAAAACAGGCTAGCTCTCACGAACACGTTCTTCGAGACACGCAAGGGCGGAACATGGCACACATACAACGGTGTGTCGGGAAACGATTGCAAGCGCCTTGACTACATCCTGACAAGGCAGGCACATCACGGCCGAGTATCTAACGTGGTTGTCATCCCCCAGCCGGTTCGCCCGGTCAAAGCAGACTCAGACCACAACATGGTAGTAGCCACCGTCAACCTCGGTGGCAGGCTTGCCCACAGCCGTGCAGTCCGGGCTCAACCGAAACAGCAACAATTCAACCGACGGGATTTGCAGTTCGAAGCAGCATGTTGTGCGGTGACTAATCGGTTCCTCCTCAACCTCAACACACGACTGGACGAGCGAACAACCACCGCCGCGGAATTGGCGACCGACTTTACCAATGCCCTTCTCGAAGCAGCGCGGACGACCCTAGGGGAGGAACCGCGGAGACGCCGCACGCAGGAGTGGTGTGAGACCCCAGAGACGAGAGCAGCACTGGAGAAGGCCCTTACCAAACGGCGGAAAGCGCGCCGGGCGATGAGGGGCAACTGGAACTCAGCAACGTGGAGAACTCTCAAAGCAGCGTGTAAGGGAGTGGCTACAGCAGTCGAAACGGGCATTTATGCCCACCTGGACGGATATGTGACTGAACTCGAAGTAATCTACAAAGATCGCGACATGAGAGGACTGTACCAACACCTCAAGAGATCAGTGGGCCTCAGCGGGAGACAAGCGGGGGGATGAGAACGGCGTGTTGCTCCGGAACAGGGACGACATCCTCCAACGGTGGTCGAGATTCTTCAGCACCCTGCTCAACACCAAATCCCCCACCCTGAACCCAGACATCATCGAACGAGTGACGCAGCGGCCAGCGACACGTGACACTCAACGGTTGAGAGAGGTGCCAGAACTCGAGGAGGTGGCACGGGCAGCGAAAGGCCTCAAGAACTGGAAGGCACCCGGCCATGACTCCCTCCCTGCCGAGTTGCTCAAGATCGATGACGACGAACCCGTTGTCCTGAGACACCTCCATACCATCCTCGTCAAGGTGTGGAACGGAGGAGATATCCCGCGAGAGTGGAAGGATGCAACCATCAAGGTGCTGTACAAGAAGGGTGACCAGTCCAACTGTAACAAATACAGGGGAATTTCGCTACTACCTCACGTAGGCAAGGTCCCCATCAAGATCATCACCAACCGTCTAAGCGCCTTCTGCGAAGCCAACAACATCCGCCCGGAGGAACAGTGCGGATTTCGACCCGGGCGATCCACCGTCGACATGCTGTTCGTCGTGCGCCGCCTCCAGGAGCTGGGGCGGAGAAAGAAAATACCGCTCTACATGTGCTTCGTCGACTTTGAGAAGGCGTATGATTCGGTGGACCGAGAGATGCTATGGAAGGTGCTGGCCAGGGCCGGGATTCCCGCGAAGCAAATCAAAGTCATCCGCCAATTCTACGATGGAATGCAGGCCCGGGTGCGCATGGACGACAGAGAACTATCGGACTGGTTCTTCGTCACACAGGGCGTGCGACAAGGATGTGTGCTATCCCCACTACTGTTCAAGATCTTCTTCGCCGAGGTCCTCGAGGTCGTCGTTGTCCGATTCAGCGAGGATGATGTTGTTCTGCGGAACCTGGTGTGCTTAGAGGAGGGCAAGACGGAAGCGGGGGGGAGGGAGGAGACACCCCTTGACCGAGTACGGAGGGCAGTATCGGGGATGCTGTATGCCGATGATGCCGGCGTCGTATCGAGGTCTGCAGAAGGACTGGCGAGAATTATGACCATCATCGTTGAGGTGTTCGGGGAGTTCGGGCTAACGGTGTCGGAGAAGAAGACGGAGACGCTCCTGATGCGCGCGAAGGACAAGTCGACTACAACATCACAACCCCCCCCCGCCTCCACCGCTGACCATCGAAGCCGCGGGACAGAAATACGCCCAGACGACCGAGTTCCGGTACCTCGGTGGCCTCGTCAACGAACATGGCGACCTCACCCGGGAGATCAGCTACAGGAGCAGAGGGGCGTGGGCGTGCCTCAGGCGATATGGCCAGGAGCTCTTCGACAGACCGAAAGCACCATTCCGACTCAAGATCCGCCTCCTCCAGGCGGAGGCGATGGAGGCACTGCTGTACGGCTGCATGACATGGTCATCACTCAGCGGCCACTATCAGACGCTGCGGTCGACACACCACCGACTGCTCCTTCGAGTCATCGGGTACAAGGGCAAGAAAGACACCTACCGGCAGCTCTCGTACGCCCAGACGCTGAAGAGGGTCAGATGCCAGAGCGTTGAAGCCTCGATCCGACAACGACGCCTACTGTTCGCGGGAGCACTGGCAAGGCAGCCGGACGGGCGACTCCCGAAACGACTGATGCTCGGCGAGCTGGCGGGGGGGGAGAGGCCACGTAGGGGGGAACAGGAACAGAACTGGCCGAAGTGTGTGCTCGACGAGCTGAAGGCATTCGGGGCCGACCATGGATCTACGACAACCGATCCATGTTGTCTCGGAATTCCCGTACCGAAAGACACGGCACCGAAGTTAAAGTCGACGAAAGCCGCGAAGGTGGAGGGGGGAGTACCCTGGCATGCGGCGGTGCTGCAGGGAGCTGAGAGGTTCATGACCCCCTGGCACGAGAAGGAAGAAGAGGCCAGCCGACAACGAGCGCTCAAATGAAACCACAAGCCAACAACCAATGGGGCGGGAGAGGGGCAGGAGACGGACGAGACGGCGAGGGAAGAAAGCAAACGAGAAGAGACGGACCGAGTGGCACGATACGTGCCGGATTGAATTTCTTTTAGCCAATTCCCCCCCCCCCGTGCCCCTCGGCCTTGTTTGCCATGGGGGTTTGGGTTTCGTCGCTTGGCAACGACGTTGTAAAACAAGCCGCCCCCCCCGGTGTTTGCCATCGGGGTTTGGGTTTTCGTCGCTTGGCAAAGACGTTGTAAAACAAGCCCTCCACTCGGTGTTTGCCATCGGGATTGGGTTTTCGCCGCCTGGCAACGACGTTGGAAAACAAGCCAATTCACTTCGTGAACTCGGCAACCAGGTTACCGTTTTTTTTTTTTACCTCGGGTTTTTTTTTTGGCGGTAACCATAATGGTGGTTGAGTAGATCATGTTGTGCGGGGTGGAGAACCCTCACTCCGCGCAACGGGGGATGATCGCACCACGTTGTGTTAAAATGGTCAAGCTTGCTCTAGGCAGTTACACAGTGCTTACAACTGTCTCTGGAAGTGAAGGCACCAGAAAATAAATTAAGTCATACGTAGCTGTCATCCGTACGCAAGGAAGTAAGCACAAGATGCCGAACACCCTTAGCAGGATGCAGCTCACCCTTCATGCGACTCGCCAAATACCTCACGGCGCTTCGCGCTTGGTGATGTGAGAGCCTGGTCCGGTGAGAACCCGGCGTGCTCCGTCCCGGCTTTGTAGGGATGCGAGGTCAATGGTCAAACGACTACGGCATGCACGACTATGAGTACACCCCCCCCCCAACGCTGCACCATTGCAACAACCCCCCAGTAGTGATGACGTACCATTACAATGTATCGCTGGTTGGTGGCCATGTTTGCGTGTTTGCTTGTTCGTTAGTGGTCTCTCCACCGTGTGCCTGTTTCTGCCTCATACTTCATGTTATTTCGGCTTGGTCCCTTTTTGTCCTCGCTCTTTTTCACTATATTTTCATTTTATTTTCTCTTCTTCTTACTGTTTCCATTTTCTCTTTTTTCTCTTTTTTATCTTTTTCTCTCTTTCTTTTTCTCTCTTTTTCTGTGCCAGATGGCCTTGTCTCTGCTTGCGTTGTGAAGTGCCAAGATTGAACCAAGGGGGTGTACCTCTTTCTCTCCGGCCCATGATAGTGACTCCTAGTCTCAGTGATACCTCGCATAGCGCGCAGAGGGAGTGGAGGATTCCAGAATATCTGTCGTTGATTTCTATTGACTTGCGGAACCCTCGGGGCCAGTTTGTTTGAGCGTACCTTTTTAGGGTAAGTTAACCTGTGACCACGGGAATCGACCGCGTCGAGTGTTGGATCAGTACGGACATACGAGAGTACTGGGTAGAGAGAGATCGGAACGGTTTTTATCGTGAAGACAACAACAACAACAACAACAACAACAACAACAA